TGTGGCTGTGTGCAAGCAGCTGGACTGTCTGCAGGAGGCATAGGAGCGGATGTATCCGTTTGGGACAACGGAACCGCAACAACCTGTGGAGGAGGCACAGAGAAAATTGGGGTAGACAAAGAAGCAGGCCGCTGATCCCTGGCCAAGTGGCGATGTTGTGCATGTCGTCGACGATGATACACAATAAGAGAGTGGCGATGTTTCTAACAGAAGATGAGGATGTCACTGGCAATGAAGGCGGAACAATGGGAAGAATAAAAACCGGAGAATCGGTTCTCAAACGAGACCGTGGGGGAGATGGGGGTGGCGAGGAGGAACGTAGCCGTCTGCGGCCAAGCACAGAAAGGGATGAAAGGGGGGTGGATTGGGCAGGATGTCGGAACATAGGACGMGAGTGTCGGGCTGGGGTAGAGGAAGCTATACCAGTAAAAACTATAGCATGAGAAATTTGAGCTACAGAAACAGAGGAAGTGATAAAAAGTGGAACCGCAGCAGAGACAACTGTTGTAGCAGGAACCGCAGTGGTAAAAAGTGGAACCGCAGCAGAGACAACTGTTGTAGCAGGAACCGCAGCAGAGGCAACTTCCGTAGCAGAAACTGCCGGAGTGAAACCTGGAGTTGAAACAGCAGCAGTAGAAACTGCAACAATGGAGACCACAGCGGTGGAAGCGGCGGCGGTGGGAACCGCAACAGTGGGAACTGCATTAGCAGCAGATGAACAAGCAGTGACAGGACGAGAGCGATGCGGGGATAAAGAAGAAAGAGGGTGATGCAAGGACCATCGCAGCATGCGTCGGAACCACTGAGAGAGACGGGTGACRTGTGTAGGATAGCGACGTTGGCGGGAGCGTGTGTAGCAGGTCCATCCTTTAGCGAGGGTTGGTGGGGAATGGCCACGAGAAAGCATGCGACGAGTGAGTGATGTCGCTGCAGTTCAGAAGTCCTGCCAATTATTGCAGATGCGTTCAAATCTGGTCAATTGCCCAGTGAACACACCGGCCGGTTGATGGGAAGGGATGTTGGAGGTAGCACTTGGATAGCGAATAACAGGGAAATCCCAAGTACCCGTAGATGTACAGGAGCCATCTGTAGCCGTAGTTTCCTTCCACTCGAGCCCATAGTGCTCTGAAGGAGGAGGTAATTGCCCCCATGAAAGAACATCATCAATGAGGCGATAAGTGAAGGCGTATCGCTGAGCAGCTTGGGGATCATGTTGACGAATGTCATCAATAAAGCGTGCTTCATTCCAATAGAGCGTTAGATTGGAGATTTTTGGGCCAGCATTTGTTCCCATTGGAATACCAACGATTTGTTTTCGAAGAGTACCATCTCTAGTGTACAGAAAAGTGTTTTCTACAACAAAGCGAAGATGTTGGAGAATCTGAGAAACGGAAAGGCTGTCTGGTCCTGAATCGGTTGTCCATTGGCCAGAGCAAGGCCCGCAAATAAACATGTTCAAGGCTCTGCAGCGCGAATGCATGCGGGTATGCTGAAGGGCATGAGCATGAGCTTCATCAACAGCCTTTGCCACATTATTCAGAATGCGGTCATGAGGAAGGTTGGTGTACATTGTGGTGAAATCAACCGTGCGAGGAGAGAGGCCACGTAGAGAGGACACGTAGAGAGGACACGTTGTTTTTCAGGTCAATCGCCACCTCATCRGCACTCTGGACGATCCAGCACCGTCGAACACCTTCCTGTTGATAGAGCTCAGTGTCTTTCTCACGAAGAGTAGAGATCACGCCTTGCAAAGTAGTGCTGAGACAAGACGAAGTAGCCGTTGTGCTAGCCAAGGGTTTGTGAGGAGGCCGCTCATGAATCGTGCGAATTGAAGGACGAGAGCGAGTGCGTGGGGGGCCAGGACAAGTATTCTGTGTTGTGACTCCAAGAATGCTGCGAAGAGTTGGAGGAGACTTGTGGGCTTTCAACACATAGTATAGGTAAGGCAGGGTATCAGTGTGGGTATAACCCCAATGGTGATTCCATAGTGCATGGTGGTTGAGCACATCAGCRACRGRTTCAYGAGGACGAGTATAAGTGGGACTGTYCAAATGGGTAGAGAGGTGAAACAAATACCAATTCTTGCAACAAATTGCCAAATTGTGGGATGATTTGTCCACAGGGACAATGGCAAAGTATTGTTGCAGATGGTGTAAGGAGGCATGTGCACAACGAAGTGAATGTTGCTGGTTCACATGATAGGAAGACGAAGTCGTATTGGATTGACAATGCCCAAGGATTACAGAACGCCAGCTGTGCAATTTCTAAGAAAGGGACGAGAAAGAAGCAGATCGAGAGTGTCTAGCAAATGTATTCTTGTAACTGGCAATGTACTCATCCAGTCTGATCGCCATTGCTTGGAGCACATCAGCACTCTCCCCGTTCAAACGGTATTTAGAACCTTCTTGAAAAAGCTTGCGAAGGTTATCGTCTGAGAAGGCCGTATTCCCCAATATAGATTCAGAACTTCGTGTTAGCGCCTTCTCTTCGATCCTTTGATAGGGTCGAGTCCCACGGGTAATGGAAAGTGGAAAAGAGAAACGTTTGAAAACCTTAGCAGCACTATTCAATTTGAGTTTTCGACCTAGTGCTCCTGTAAATCCATAAATCATAGAACAACCGAATAAGAAAATCCCAGAGGAAAAGGCACCTAAAATGAAATATTTTAATCCAGCCTCTGTAGAGAATTCAGAATTTCGTTTTGATGCTGCAATAACATGAAAACATAAACTTTGAAGTTCGATGGCTAAATATATGGCAATCAAATCATAAGATGAGATCATGAAACGCATACTACACGTAGAGAGTGCACGCCCAGGTGCCCGGCCGGGCATGAAAATCTTCCTAGCTTTAAAGCACCATATACGACCCCAGTCAAGTTGAGAGTCCGATTGAGCCTCTCCTAAAATTTAGGAGGATCGCACGCTGTCGATAAAATAAATCGACGACGGGTGGCCTCCGAAAGGGGCCCACGGTCGATGGCTGGCATGTACTAGTGGTTTAAAGAAAGCATTGGCTGTCACATTGACTTCACCCAAAAGTAAAAGAGGACCCAAAAAAAACGGAAGAAACAAAAAGTCGGAGCAGAAAAATATTGTGCTGAGAGGAGGAAGAAGTAAGTCAGCTTCAATGCCAAAGCCCAATGCTGACAGAGACCACACCCCCTTGCTAAGCCTGAACTGGGCACAACAGGCAGGATAAACATCAGCTTTGAGCTCCAACCTTGCCAAGACTCCAAAGCCACCATCTTCCCCTGGAACGTAATAGACCCTGATCATCAATGTATTCAAGCTAGTTTTCCAGAAGCTCCAAAAACCTATGGCATGGCATACAACACACTATCGTGACAGTCGAGCCACGCAGATAGTGACAATCGAGCGCCGCCACCTGCGGGAAGTTGTGAACACTACCAGTTGTCTTCTCACCTCCGGTGAAGCGATCAGATTCAATCCCAGCCACTTGTCTACACCACACTCAAATACCTCAGTGAGTTTTGGTGGAGAGAGAGAGAGAGAGAGAGAGAGAGAGAGAGAGAGAGAGAGAGAGAGAGAGAGAGAGAGAGAGAGAGAGAGAGAGAGAGAG